ATCCACTGCTTGTGACGGAAACAGGTAATTCCTGCTCACAGCTATTTATATGCAGGCAGAGGAATGTAGCCATGTAAATATGTTATCAATTCTGACCTTTCAGTTATTTGTGCTGCGTGTTTTTATACCAAAAAAGAGCTCTATTTAAAGCAAATCAGGCAACTAAGCCCATTTCATTAGAAAAAGAATTTAAGCAAGCATGCTTTGATTAAATTCTCACTTAACGTGTCTGATTTTATATTCACAAGGATCAGAAATCTATTGCTAGCTATTAAAAAATATGATCTGAAAGAATGAAAAATAACTGTCGTTGTTGTTGTCTAAGATACAGTTTCTCACTTTGCCATGGCCTGATATGGAAAGGTGCCTTGTCCAAAAACTTTGTGTTGAATGGTCCCCAGGAGAATATGCTAAATTAACATACAGTGAAATTGGATGTAAATGATTACTGAGTAAGATTTCTGAATCCCTGTGTGATCCTTGTTAGTTCCTCTAACCTGAGATTTCTCCCTTTGCTTACAGGATGGCCCCGAAGCCGGACAAACGGTGAAGGTGAGTGCTTATTATGCAGAACACAAATTAAGAGACAATTATAAGTACTAATAAAAGATCAAAGCTAGTCGTCTGCAGACCATTGCCGTATCGTTATTTTATCCTTGAGATAAAAAAATCCCAAGTGTACAATAGCTGTAAATACTTTTTATTGAAATTGCACAGGATAATGTTTACAGGTTTTCTTTCTAGACAAAAATTTTCAATTGTGAAAATATCTTTTCTAAGCTGCTGGGTGTATTTACGCAAGGAAAGCCTTAGAAAAGAGGCATCTGTTAAAGTTTTTTGTTTGTTTTATGGAGAAAATATTGCCCTTCCATTCATAATCCCTTTGTTTGTCTTTTTATTGCCTAATGAATTGTAGCTAATTATAGGAACAGTTAAACTGAACCACATTATGAAAATATACCTTTTGTCTATGCTTTCTCTCTACATATTCACATCACATTCTTGTTACTGAAGTTCAAATGTAATGGAGCCAGTGAAGCTTAAAAACAGATTTTAAGTGTACTTCTGAAAAAAAGGCGGGGGCATGGAGGGGAAGAGAAGGATTTATGATTATACTCTGCACTTGAGTAATAGTATAGATAACATCCAAGATGGCTCTCCAGCCATGTTTCACTGCCTCGTAATGCAAATACAAGTGCATGTGTAGTTAGATTATATGCCTGAACATTGGATAAAGGCTATTTTTTACGTTTGAAATCAAAGGAAAGTCAAATATGGCTATGGGTTAGCACTTTGTAAAATCAAATTAGATGTCTCAAAGAAGCTGTTTGGGTTGATTAAGATAACTGTAACAACCAAATGATGGCGTATAGAAACATTTTACTTCTTTCCAATTTGCTGTATTGACCTTATTTTTCCTACTCCTTCTTGTTGCCTGCTTCAGATATTTAGCAGAGAGGTAATAGGGAGAGAGAAGAAGAAATCAGAAAATCCCCAAGCTTTGGGAAGCTGAGGAGTGATGAAGGAATGTAATACAATTTACTTCAGTACTGCAACGAAACAGGTTCCTCAGCTCATGACTTAGAGTGCATTGGGTGGGTTTCTCTGGGAATGCCTGTTGATAGGTGAAATTCTCAGTTTAAATACTTTCCAAAGTAAATTTTGTCATTAACACCAACATGTTTTAACAAGCAGATCACGGGATTTCTTTTAATATCTTGGACAAATATTTTTTCCATGTAAAGAAATGGTTTATAGGAATGATTATATTAAAATGTGAGAAAATTTGCTAGTATGAATGAGCAAAACTAGATGTAAAAATTCCCATCTTCTGTGATTGTGAACAGTAACAAATGCTTATGTAGGCCTTAAAAAGGCAAAAAATTCAGTATTATTTTGTATTCGTAACAGAGACAAAGGGCATTAAGTGTTAACCTATCCAATACATTGCAAAATGGTAACCACCCTTCGTGCTTCCTTCTCACACTTCTAATAAGCAATGAGATGAAAATGACCTGCTCTTACAGCTGTGAACCCCAGACTCTGTAAAAAAGAGTGTGTATTCATAAATCAGAGGTTAGCAGTTTACGTTTCTCTACTTTTCTGCATCATTGGGCAACACTGTAATTTATCATCATCACTTTGGGATGTTTATCATCCAAAAATGCCAAGAACTATTTTCTTCAGAGAACTTAGAGCTTTCAAAACTTGAATAGGGGAAGAAATTACTATGATCAAGATCTTCTTTAAAGTGAACAATAGGGTGGATACATAAATAGCTAGTTCCATTTAAACTGTTTTGAATCAGAAAGTTTGAAAAACCATCTATGTGAGCTACAAATAATTTATGAACCTTAAATTCCATGTGTCATGTGTTTCTGTATGTGTTTTTCTTCATGTATCAGAATGCACAATAATCCAGTCTTTCTCTAAGGGAACTTTTAATAAAAATTTCTAGAACAGACTAAACATTAAAAAAACATTCTAATAGTAAGAATAGCAAAGCATCACAATAAACATCCAAGGGAGTTTGTGGAGTGTCTGTTTCAACAGGGTAGGCAAGTGTATGTCAGGAGCTAATTAAGTGCAGGTGATCTTACTTTGAATCGGGTCACATACCAGATGGCTTCAAGAGTCCTTTCCATTCATATTTTGTATAATTCTGTATACCTGTATAAATATAGGCTACTGTATGTGCTATGTAGGAAGAGAATTACAGGAAACAGGGGAAGAGTATAGGCTCTTAAACTGGTCAGTGCACAGCTTTACTACAAAATGGGAAGAGCTATCAGCCTAGCTGAAGACAAAAACTGACTGAGAAATTTTACCTGAAAAAGATTCGGAAATTCTCTTTCCTTGTCAACAAGAAGGAATGATAATCCATGTCCAAGAAAACTTTTGGAACTTAGTTTGAATATGAGTGTCGGGTCTTTCTTTGCTATGGAGATGTCGAAAATTATATGTGCAGTGCATGCATCAGGTTTAAAGGAAATTACCCTTTCAGTGCGATTTTGGATAGAAATCAATAATAAGATTGTCTGCCAGTGTTACATGTTCATTGTGCTGGTGTGAAACCTGCTGGTGTGTGCAGGCTTCAGTCAGAGGTACCATGTACTGCCATGTCAGGATACTATAGCGGTGCCTCTTGGACTAAAACCTTCCTAGTTACCTAATGGGAAGCTGTTTATAACCTAACATGTAGCTCTGTTATTGCTGTACTCTGTTCCTTGTGGATACTGTCCTCCTCTGAATCTAAGCCAGCAGAGCCTGCAGGACAGCGTTGTAGGGAAGCTTATGGTCCTTTCAAATTCCTCTATTATTGCAGTCTGTATGTTTGCATTGGATGGCTCTTTGGAAGAAATTATACTTATACCTGACCCCCAGCTCACCAATACTTTAGAAGTGTAGATGGGTCTTTTCTTACCCTTTAGCAGCTGGAAATATACATTTGCTAAGGAATTCTGAACCATGTCCCAGATCTCAGACCATAAAACAGTACAATATATTGCATCGTAGTCTTTTTCATAGCTGTCCACAGATTGAACCTATTCCAGCCCTGTCACCTATTTATGAGAGGGCCAAATGTCCCTCTCCAAAGGTGGTCGCAGACTTGCACGCTTTGTGTTTTATTGTAAGACGTTCTTGCACCAACTCACAACAGAGAATCTGAGCATCTCTGGGCAGTGTGTCAGCAAGAATAACTATCTTCCAGCATTAAAGACATTTTGAATACTTATTTCTTCTTACTTGAGAAAGGAAGGAATTATCTTTTAAAGAATATTTCTCTCTGCAATTTTGAGCTCTGTTTTTCTTGGAGAACACAAAACCCATGGTATCCTTGTGCCAGGAATGGAGTGTGAGTTTCATGCCGGTCCTGTTTGAGAATGCCTCAAATATCCAGGCAATTTCATGGATCAGGGAAATCAGCTCTGCATCTTAATGCAGGGCTCTTATTGCTATGTCAAGTGAGTGACGTTTCAAGATTTCCCCAATATATTTTATAGCCTTCTTTTCAACATCAAGTCAGCAAATGCTCTAGATGCCTTGGTGGATGTATAGCATAGTGTAGAATAAACTCTCAGGTTTACCTTTTATGTGAGATTCAATCACAAGAAACTCCATGTACTCTGTACTCCGTAAAGGCTAAACAAATCAAGCTGGCAGGAGCATGATGCAACTAATTTATCTGTAGAGCCAAGATAATATTGCACAGCAAGTGTCCATTGCACAAACACATATGAACACATACTCTACTTTGCAGCAGTGTCAGAGTCTCCAGCAGCTCAGCACCGCCACTGGTATCCATGAGTAAGTGCCTGTTTGCCAATTATAGGTTTACCTAAATAAATGAGAAGGCAAGGCTGATGGTGGCAGTGTGGGTATATCTGCAGAAATTTATTTTATATGTCACACATTCCGCTAATTATTTTACACTGAGAAGATTGTCTCACGATTATTTTTTGATGTACATGTTTTTCTTTCCCAGATGTTTTTTTAATGTTGTGTTAAATCAATCCACCTGGCTTGCATTCTTTAGAAATCTTAACCTGAACTGTAGAGTCTAGGGTTTATTTAAGCTCACAGCAGACTACTTTTTCATACTATTTGTCTACTTATCTCTGGACCTGAAGTACTGGACTTCACGTTTGAGTCTTTAAATTTAATCAGATAGCATTGCAGACTGATTACATCAGAAGGATTAAATTCCCTAACTGCAATACTTTTGATGCCTCAGCCTGCTTTCCCTGCAGACTGGCAGATGTGAGCCCTTGTTTAATGGAGTATTGGAAACCACCTTTTGCTCTCTTAAAGGAGCAAAAAAAGCTGGCATTTGAGAAATGCAAAGATTTTTCTTACGTCTAAACAAATATAAAAATTCAAGTAGAAAAAGCATGGAAGAAAGAAACAAGTTTTTGAAAGCCATATTGTACTGAAATGTGAACAAATGGTCTTGTTTGTTTTACCCTTAAGAATGATGATTCTTTTGAAAGTTTGTGCGATGTCCAAAAATGATTTGATGAAGTACAGCAGTCTCTTTGAACTGCTTTGAGAACTACACTAATAGTATTTGGTTGGACACTATGCAATATTGCAAATAGGTAATTGGTACGGCAAATTCAGTAGTCTCAGGACTGCTATGTCTGTTTTGAGCTCATAATTTTCTTTCTGTTTCAGTACTATACTTAAATTGGGGAGGGGTGTGGTGGGAAGTTAGTGGTGTATGTTTTCAAAGCTGGGATTATACTGCCCCTTACAGAGATGGGGAAGCAGCAGGGGCATCCAGATAGTTTGCCCTCCCTCCCTTAAAGCCTTTTGCTAGCTCTTTGTTTTCTACTCACTCTAAGTAATAATTCCTGCCCTTTCCTTCAAGGCCCTTTTCAAAATCTGCGTTGTGTTGGTCTAATTCTCCTTTCAGTCCTTTGGCCAGACCTATGTTTCCTATGATGCAATTAATGGATATAGCACTAGAGTCCCAATTTCCTCTTTGCTTTCTCAGGTCCTTACTCCTGTTCATTACATGTAACATTTAGGTTTTGACTGAACTATAAGCT